AGATGTACCATCACTGCCTGGAGACAACTCTTCGTCCGTGGTGCGGCGTGATGGTTGAAGCTCGCTTAGCGAATTGCTGGTTTTGAGCTCGAGTTGTTCGGCCGATCGTTGGGTGATACAGTTGTCCATGGTTTCGTAGACCCACGCGTTCACGAGCTGCGCGGCGAGGATCGAGACGGTCACCATACTGTCATCGCTTGTCTCGAGCTCTGCACCATCAATAATGACCGGTGCCATGGAAAACGTAGGCGGCGCGTCATCAACGACCACGGGTGACGCAGGGGCTTCGGTCACGGCGCATGCGGAAGCGTCGGCGGCATGCTCGTGGCGTCGTGCAGAAAACTGAACGACCTCGTGCATGGTCTCGTACAGCCATGCGCGGACAAGTTGACCGGCCAAGACAGAGGCGGCCACGTCCACAATATCGTCGTGGGGCGTCTCGTCCTTGGAGAGCTCTGCTGGCAAGACGACAACAGAATCGATCTCATCGCAGACGTCGAGGGGAGCAAGTGACGCAGCAGTACACGCCAGGGCTCGTTCTGCAATGACACCACAGGTCTCATAGACCCACGTACGCACGAGTCGGCTGGCGAGAAAGGCCACAGCCACCTCGTTGTCATGCGACGCCATTTCACTGGCGTCGATCGTCTCCGGGGCAGAGGCTAGCGCTGTGGCATCTGCCACGTTTTCTATCCGAGACGATGGCGTGGCATTTTTCAAGGACGGCACAGCAGCGTCGTGCTCATGGGGACGAGACGTGAACCAAGCAACTTCTGCGATCGTATCGGCGATCCACGCGCGCACGAGGTGGCCCGCGAGGATCGATGTGGCGACCTGCGAGCACATGCTGTCCTCTTCTTCTTCCACTAGCGGTGCAGCATCAATAGGCTGACACTCGTCGAGACAAGGCGGGTCGGGCGTCTCAATGGCTACTGTCGTCAGCTCGCGTTGCTCGAGCATGGCTCGGATTGCGACATCGGTCCACGCGTGCACGAGCTGCGTCGCCATGTCACGGAGACACGAGTCGAGCCCGCCCCCAAAGAGTGTGAGGTCGGGGACATCTCGCGTCGCAGATGCAACGCCCATGGCCGACACCAACGTCGCTGTGGGAGCTACGTCGATCGCATTGATGTCGATGGATACCGATGGGCTTGAGAGACCCGCTCCGAGCACTGCAACGGCATCGGACGTCGCCGCACGGGCGTATTGACGGGCAACGCTTGCAAGACCATCCACGTCCGCGACACATAAAGTCGTTGACGTCGCGTCGGTACCGATTCTCGACGTCGTCTTTGGCACATCCGAGCTCTTGTCAGTTCTTATAGCAGCGCTTAACGTCATCAGCGCAGCGTGCATCCAGGCGTCGACAGCGCGTGTCGCCACGAGGGCGGTCGGCCGCATCATCTTGGTGAGCTCGACCTTGGCGTCCATGCACGCAGTGGGTTCGGACTCGCAAGCCTCGGGCTCGGGCTCGTCGTTGGAAGCGGTGGAAGACAATGCCTTTGCGCGAATGACGTGGCACGCAGTATCGATGCAGCTTTGGGCGACGGTCGCCGCCAGAGATGCCACGTCATCGCAGTATCGCTCCGAGATCCCAGCGTCGCTAGCGTTGACCATTGCAACGCTGATCGCAAGCTCCGAAGACGTGACGGTGTCTGGCGCGTTGGTTGCCATCGTCGTGGTTGCTGCGGAGAGTGCTGCGTCTGTGAGCCGTACGCGGACGTTCTGCGCGGCGATGTTCGTCGCAGCTTCCGTCAACGTGTCCGTGCTTGTCACTGGCGGATTCAAGACCGCGATAGCATCCCACGTGACGGCATCACAAATACCCGCGTGCGAAAAAGTGTCGAGCGGCATGCAGTCGTCGACAGCGGTGTCCACGACACGGGATGCAGTGGCGCTCTGTGGCTCGTAGACTGCCGCGTGGAGCCACGACCGCACGAGGTTGCCGGCCAAACGCGACGTCGCAATGCCGCGATCCTCGTCCCATTCGTCGGGCTCGTCGCGTGCGGTTGGCGGCAACGAGAGCGCCGGCATTGCTGGCGCAGCGCGTGCCACTTGCGGTACCGATGCAACTGGCAGCGAAAACCACGCAACAAAGCTGAGAAGGTTGGCGACCGAGTCGTACATTGGCGCGTCCCACGAGGTCCACACCACCGACGGCGCCGTCACCTTCGCAGTAGACTCTACGATCGGTGGCGCATCGATAGCTGATGCTAGCGTTGATTCCGGCGATGTCTCACGAGTCG